GGGGGGGGATTTTTCTTTTAAAAAATGCAAGGGTTTTCATCATTTGATATTTTTTCAAAACTCCTGATACATGTAATGTATGCTGATTTTTTTGTCAAAGAACACGTAATGGTATCATGATTTTCAATTATATTTTCTCTGAAAATTATCAGTTGGAAGGTTCACTGTAAAGTGCATGTACATTGCATATGACCTTAAAAATACTGTGGTGGCAAAAGACAAGAAATTTTTTTTTTTTCAGTTTTGGTACATGTACTATATTATTATTTCGTTAACCTGTCAATTTTAGATCAAATGAATAAAGGTTAAAAACTATTATTTGACTCTTTGTTTTCGTGAGTTATCTAGAGCAGGCTCGTAGCAACAGTTTCAAAAGAAAAAAAAAACCAAACTGACTAAAAGTGGGGGGGGGGGGGGACTTCCCGAAATTATCTGACAAGCAAAAAGAAAAGGTGATTTACTGTCCAAATCCTGGAATTTGCCAGTGCTGGACCTTACAATATCAAAAAGTGGGGGGGGGGGGGGGGGCATCCAGCATCTAAAGGGAAACTTACTATAGCAAAATACTATAACCCCCACCCCCCACCCCCCGCATTCTACGGGCCTGCTAGAGACATCTAATAGTCTATTTTAATCAACATGTGAATGCAAATTTCAAATGGTTTGTCAAGTAATATAGATAGATGTATGTTGGAAAGGACCAAGAGAATTTTGTAATTATATACATGTACATTATACAGCTGACCATATGGTCTGAAGTTGACATTAAAAATTGCAAAGTTGTAGAGTAAAATCAAAATTTGTGCCCCAAATTTTGTGATGACAGTGGCATTTTTCTTTTTAAAAAAAATTTATGAGTTTAAGTGAGCTTTAATGATTTTTATCTCACATGAGCTGAAAGCTCAAGTGAGCTTTTATGATCACCTGTTGTCCAGTGTCTGCCCATCTGACTATCCACTTGTCTGTAAACTTTTCACATTCGACTTCTCAGGAACTGCTAGGCCATTTTTAACTTAGTTTACTTATGGGGGGCCCATAAGTAAACTAGCGCATGTGAAACTACTATTTGCAACTGTCAAATAATTGTGTACCTCTAAAAATACCCATTATTATATATTATACATTTCAAAATTATAAAGACCAATAGCGCTTTTGAATTAGATTCAGCACGTACTGTTGAATTGGGTTCTTTGGATATAGGAAAGGGAATTTTTTTTCCCAGATATTGTGTGTTGTTCTACTAAAATTTACCTTGAATTTGTTACAAAATTTTATTTACACACGTTTTTCTATACATTTGCTATCTCCAGGTCATCGCTCCACGATTTTAAAAAGTTATTTGTGTGTATCAAACTATTGACATTAAAATTTTAGATCCCTAAAAGCCTTTTCTCGACATATTCAGCCATATTTGTTTTTAAAAACTAGAAATAAAATTGCAGTTTTGCTAAAAAATTTATTTGAAACATTTTTGCGTATCGGACAATTCCCTAGTGTTTGGAAACATACTCATGTAATTTCTGTCTTTAAAACAAATTCATCAAGTTAATTACATACCGGTATCCTTATTATGCTGCATAGGAAAAATCTTTGAAAGAATATAATGTTCAAATACTTTGTAAATTGTTATACAAACTACATTATGGCAGGTGCGTAGCCAAATAAAAGTGAAGTATACGAAGAGGACGACGGGGGTGGGGTGGGGGTTAATTTCCAATTTTCACAAAAAACTATATTAAAAATATTATCAAATTAGCATGGTTTAACTATGCTACAACAAAAAGTGGATGGGGGCAACCACCCTTTCAGTGAACATTTTCAATAGTCAAAAGTTAGGTTTTGAAAAGAATAGGCAAGGAACCCTGCCCCCCCCCCCCCCCATACTACATGCCTGCTGGTGAGGGCCCAGAAGTTTCTGAGTTTTACCAAATACATGTATATCATTCATTTTCTTGCAAAATAAAAATTATGTCATTTATCTTTTGTTTAGAAATAGAAGACATAATATTTATTGTTTTAACGCAAAGTTAATACTTCTACGGAAACTTAGTGTACATGTAGTTTAGGCTAAATATCTAATCGATATTTGGTATCATACTCTTTTCTATCGTTCAACAACTTGTATACTTAATGTTAATTATTAACAAAAAATATCGTATTTTAAATCATAAACTACATGTAGTAGATCATGACATTCAAGGATGTGTCTGAAATTTTATTTCTCAAAGATCTTTAAAAAATATCAAAAATTATCAATGTATCAAAGAACGAATACAAGTTCATGAATGCTTTATTTAAATTTGGCAATGATTTAATAAAGGACTTCAAATTTTATTATATAGTCATGATTATATAAAATTCAAAGCGCTCTTCAGCAGTATGACACAAAATAATTCGAAATCCGAATATTTGTTGGATGGTACTGAGATTTTTTCTTCGAATAACTCTCTCTCTCTCCCATAGATTTTATTTATTTATTCATCTATTATATTTATTTGTTTATTTTTTACAATTATGTGTATGCACTTGCATATTTGCGTATAGGCAGCTACGCGCCTATGTGGGTTTTTAAGAAATCATTAAACAGTCACCCAGTTAAAAGAAATTTATCATAATAAATGGTTTGTGTTAAACAATAAAGAATTCGAATTAACTTGTTTTGCATTTTGTGATAACAGCAAGACATTCAATACGGTTTGTTTAAAAGAACAAGAGACAGCATAGATTTGCGGGTGAAGTTCTTACCCTGGTACCTTGTTGACTAATTATCTTTTCAATCAATCGCAACAGATCGAAAATAAATTTTCAGTATATTTAGTGAGAAGGACGGAAGCTGGAGTTCCCCGGGGCTCTATTCTTGGACTTCAACTTTTCTTACTTGATATACAAGACCTACCAGGTGGTCTATTGGGTACCTCTAGGATATTGTCATATGATGCATATTCGTGTCAAACACCTTTCAAAACGTGCAGAACTTAGAAAGGCTGAGCAATCACGACTTATAAATGAAGAATGGCTAAAAACGAATTGTGAAATTTAATCCCAATTACCAAGCTAAAATTATTAATATTTTTCAGCAATGAAGATAAAATATATAATTGCACTTAGTGTTGAATAATCAGCAAATGGATCCTTCTCTTGGTCACTATCATCTTAGACTTACATTCTCAAACCCTGGGGAGTGGACAAACCACACTGACAGTATTATACAAAAGGCTTCCAAAGAAATTGCAGTTTTTCGTAAATTAAAAGGGTTACGTATCGTGACTTCTTAGCTTAAATGTATTCTAGTATTACGTTTAAATACATGTAAGACCGATACCACTTTTGGAATATGCATTAGAAGCATGGAACAGCATCTCCGCAGCTGCTCTGAAAGGCCTGATAAACTTCAGCAAGAAGCTGTACATATTGTAACTGGCGTTCCTGTTTATCGTGCCTTGCAAGATTTTAAGTATTTTGTGCTGCCACGGTATATTATTCTTAAATTGAATCATTTAACTATTCTCTGTTAAATTTTAGTTCACTATAACCTTACAACTGTAAGAAAAAAAAAATGTCCACCTAAGCCAGATTTAGTACTTACGAAAATATACACTGGTCACCTTAACTCACGTGAAAGGGTTACAAAATATTAGGGAGACCAATTTTTTTGTATATTTTTACCTACAAGTTTTCTGTAAAATTTAGCGTTAAAATGGTAATTAATAAGCCCAAGTACCAACAAAAATGCATTTGGTTTTTATTTCAAAGCATAGGGGAAAAAGATAAATTTTGTCTACTTAAGCCAGATTTCATGGCTTTGGTCCCCTAACCCAGAAATCAGGATTATATATATATATATATATATAATTTAATTTTGTTTGTATTCTAGCCTCTGATTGGTTAATATCCAAAAAGGAACACAAATTATTTCTGTATAACCTGGTTTGGTATTGGGACACACCCCCCTGACAACCAGCTGAATCATCTGTATCCATGCAATCATCTCATTTCTAGTCCTCGGGATTCATGGAAAATTCCAGATTTAATAAATGTACCTTTTACTTCGAACAGTAACTCGGATCTTACAACATGTAATCAAACAACATGGCTGCTAGGACTATGTATCAGTTTTTACCTCCCCTCGCTTCCCATCACTTCCGTTACTACGGTTGTATTATTGAGCGGCAAATTTGAACTAAAAAGCAACGAAATTTTACAACCACAGTTGTTTAATGATTTTAAAATTAAATTATAAGGAATGACTCTAATTCTTGGCCAAATTATTCGAGTATAACCTGGTTTGGGTCAGTTTATGCTGTTTTATAATCCGCTTCGCGGATTATAAAACAGCGTAAACTGACCCAAACCAGGTTAAGCGGATTATAAAACAGCGTAAACTGACCCAAACCAGGTTATACTCGAATAATTAGGCCAAGAATTAGAGTCATTCCTAAAATATATATATATATATATATATATATATATATATATATATATATCAGGCTTTGGGTCATGCTAAATGGATTGCACTGCAATACTTGAACTTGAAGTAATGCTAGTAATGTGTAATGCCAAAAAATTTACATTACATGTAATGGTAATGTAATGCATTAATTCCTCAAATCCAGAGTAATGCTGGCATTACATAGCATTACAAAGCATTATTTTGCATATACCTATTTCAAAAAATTGAAAATGGACATGGAAATTATATTGTTTAGATTAATTTGTTTTTAAATAATAGAAATGAAAATAGTTAACCTATTTAAATAGACTCTGTAAAGAGAATTCAGAATGTATTTCCTTCAATTTTACAGCACCAAAACTTTGTTAATAACTCCTACCATCACCATTTTCATCATAAAAATAAACCCACCCACATACAGTGTACATGTATACACTCAATACATGTAAATTTTGCACTTGTTGTCTTACGTCATTGACATTCTTTCTTGTGATTATAGTTTTACAGAGAATATTAAGAATGATGAAAAATTATTTTAATTTGCATTTAGGAGAAAAGTAACCCTACCACTAGGAATGGACTGATGCTTTTAGATGACAAAAAGCTGAAAAAACAGATGATTGAGAGGTATGCTATGTATTTGTTAGTATTTAAGCTTCATTATTAAGTTATGGATAAGTTTCAACAAAAAGCTTGGATTCATTGCCAGCTAGAGAGCTTTATTATGAAGAACAATTAAAAATATCCAATGTATATATATGTAAGACTCAAAAGTTAAGTCCCATGGTCATACCAAAGTCCAATGATCTCAACAAAGTCCGAAGGTCTGCGCCAAATCTCGATGGTATGGTGTCGGTGCAGTTGCCAAAGTCTGATGGTCACGCCAAAGTCCGATGTCTTGTTTCCTATGAGACGAAAATGAGAAAGTGCGATGGTCTGACACGCCAAAGTCTGATGGTGTGGAGAAACAGCCAATGTTTATGACGTCACAATATTTCGACGTCAGTACTAGACGCCGTTGTCCATAATTCAAAAGCCAATAATATATGATTAATCCTCACATAAAATGTGACTGATTTTGCTTTATATTGCTTTCATCCGCCTGAGATATTAGGGTTAGTCCTTGCACACCTCTCGACTGAAAAGGATAAGTTCTTGCTCTATTGGACTGATTATGTGATAGCTTTGCACCCAACTGAGAGATTTAGGGTTAGTTCTCGCTTATTATTAGACAGAATAGGGTTAGTTTCGCACCCACCAAAGAGATTTAGGGTAGGCTCTTGCACACCATTCAACTTATTAGTCTTACGGGTAGTCTCTCTCCCATGCACCCAAAATATGAAGGTGAGCTATTGCATACTTTTTGAGTGATTAGGGTTAGTCTCACACCCATCGCGAGATTATGGTTAGCCTTGCACCCACTCAAGAAATTAAAACTAGTAGAACAATTAAATTTTGGCATATTCTAGAGAACCATTTCACTACCCTAATCAATTATTTAATATTCATTTGTATTTATTTGAAAACATCAGACCTTAGCGTGGTGCTGCATCTCTGTTCGGCATATAACGTCATAAAGTTAATTGTTTTTCCCCACCATCGGACTTTGGCATATCAAACCATCAGGGTTTGGCACAGACCATCAGACTTTGGCATGACGATTGGGCTTTGGAGTCCCATCACACTTTGAAGTCCTACATATACATGTATCTGTTAAAATTTAAAGGCATTACGAATTGACGCTACCGGTAGTAGGGTTTCATAGGTTAATTTTTGAAGTGTATGTAATTTTCAGTACTGCATTTGTTCTCTTGGGAAGGCAATATGCCAATAATACATATTTAACAAATGAAACGACCAGGTTTGTGTTGTAAATTTTGTGTGTGAAATTATAATTTGAAATTAGATAATTTATTTTGAAATAAATATAAAATCTTTTTTTGTTAATTATGAAAAGTAATATGAATTGATTTTGTACAGAGATAATACAATTTTAGGTATGGGTATCAAGATGCCGATGAAGACAAGAAAACTTTTAAACCTCCACCTCTTAAACAGGTATTGGAATCACTGTAAATATTATGTTTATAAGTTTTAGTTTGGATTTACAAATCCTTATTTTTCTTAACAGAAATCAAGAAGTGTTTAGGACTTTATAGAATGCTGCAAGCATTTTGGTGCATGTCTTTTATACTGGTGTATTTTGAAGCATTATATGCATTATATGAGCATTTTATACAGTTTCATTTTTTATGCTGTGATTTTTTCCCTCACAGAAATACTCAGAACATGCTGAAGTATAAAGAATTTTATAAATTAAGGTTGACATCTATCTGTATTCCTCTGTATTCGTAGGAACCCAAAAAGATGGTACGCTACCTAGACAGTCGTGTTGTGAGTACAAAGGGAGAGAGATTTACCGAGATTAAAAAGGATGATACGGAGGAAATGAAAAAGACTTTCATCAATTTAAAACCTGCAAGAAAGTACCGTTTTCATTAATAGACTAGATGTTTACATCAGTGTCCGGGAATCTCCCAATATACATGTGTAGTTGATATCTCTTTGTCTCTTTAATCTTAAACTAAATGTGTTCACTTCTCATGGCTATAATCTAATCCATGATCATACATTCCTCTGAAACACACTGGTTGTGTCTCATTAAGGAATTATCATCTTTTTTTCACTAAGAGAGATGTTAAAATGGTTAAAACTTTTATAAGAAGCTAAACAATATGATTAATTAACATTGTATTTTAAATAAATGTGTTCCACATTAGAATACAACTATAACCAATTCTTGCCATTGGAAATATTTTTACATATTCTGAAAGGAACAAGCATGAATAATCTGAACAAATTCTATGATAATTTAGAATTTTACACTATTTCAAAAGTTATGTAATTATTTTATCAAATGTATGGCACTGTTTTGTTATTATGTAATGTTAAACTTTCAACATCTTATATGTAGGAATGAAGGAATGTTTAAAGGAGTCTGGGTATAAATAAGGGTGTAAAATGGATAAACATTATAAATGTAGTATTCATATTAATATCAGATATACTGTTTTGGCACATATCAAAATTTTCTATCAAAAATTGCTGCAAATTTTTGCCTGCAGATTTCATAAGGGTTCCGTCCAGGTTATATTCCCATAGACAATGAATTTATAAGAAGAAAAAAAAACTTGCATTGATTCTTATGAAATATTATTTCTCCAGTTTCCCTGAATTTTCTTAACCTTGTATGATATTCTTCCAGAATTTTTTTTGGCTATTCATTATTCATTTTACAAATACATGTACAATTCATCTTTGGGTTCTCATTTTTTATGGCCATTTTACTACACTTATGCTGCCTACATCAAACTTTTTATGGACAGTCAAAATATTCTAATATCACTAGCTTGTAACTTTTGTTAGAATCAAGCTTACATTGAGGATAGTGATAACTTTTGTTAGAATCAAGCTTACATTGAGGATAGTGATAACTTTTGTTAGAATCAAGCTTACATTGAGGATAGTGATATAGACATCAATTATATAACTAAGTTACTTCCCTTTACGGAGAATTTTTGAAACCCTCAGCATTCCACCTCTAGTCATAATCAATGAATTATGCTTTATGTTTTCTTTTTTTTTTAACCAATCCACACATACATAGATAATGATTATACAAAATAACATATGGTTATGTAGTTTTTGAATGGCTTGACATGTCGATTGTTTTGTTTAAAAAAAAATCAAGTCATACATTTAGCAAAGTTTATTACTATATTTAGGATACCCCAGTAGGTGACCTGTAACCTACTACATCCAGTTTGTTTTGTGAAAATTATCATGCATATTATTTTTATGTACCAGTATTTTGTTGAATAATGCAAAAATGACTGATCAGGTCATTCCTATTGCACCCCTAACCAAAAATTAATAATAAAAATAAATATCCAGACTAAAAATACATTGTACATTCTCAGTTTTTCCCTGAACATTTTTTTTTTTATTTAAAGAAAACCTAATAACTGTAGAGATATATTCTCTTATATTTGTGTTAAAATAAATTTTAATTTAGGTCTTGTAATCATGTAAAATTTTAAAAATGACTCTTTCAAGGTCTGATAGTTGCAAATAACCACTATATGCATTTTATACATTTTTATATACATTATGTTGAATAATTTGATGCAAAGTTGAAGTAAAAAAATGAAAAAATTTGAAAATTGGTGTTATATATTTAACACAGAGTTTCGGACATTCCTAGCTCGTCTTTTTCCTGGGAGTTGCACCCCCTTCTTTAATGTATTAATAGAACAACTCCATCATGTAAGCAGAAGTTTACATTCAGTGACAGGTGATTATCTTGTTCTTGTGAGATGTCTGAATCTTGCTATATTAAGGATTATCTTGTATTGTACATTTTATCTGATCTCAGATATAACATTAAGGAGATGAGAACGGGATAAAAATTTTCAAGTTCATGCTTCTTTAACACCTCATGGTAAGACTTAAGAGGTTTACAATTTAAACCTGTATGTGGAAAACTAGAAATGTATGTTGCATTTGATAATAAACATGATCACTCCGAATGTTTAATTTTATTAAGTGACAGTGTCTCACATTCAGGGCGATTAGTTTGGAAACTATCGGTTGCTATTTGTGGTATATAGAATAGCTGGCGTAAACATACATCTTTTAGCAGTATTTATATTTTAGGTTTTTTTATTTGCACTACTTGTACATGCAAATACATGTTTATAAAAAATACGTATCTTTTAAAGATGCGAATGTGCTAATTATGACTTGCAAATCAGTTGAAGGAAAAGATATTGCACACAATTTTGATTATGTACGTTTACAGTATCATGGGCTATATACACTTCATGAATAGAAATGAAAATATTTATACCTTCCAAAGATGCAAAATATTGTAAGCACAGGCTTCTCTTTATTAAGTCCAACAAAGATTATACATAAATACTGCACGGCAAAATACAAGTATCATTAGCAGGTACATGTATAAGCCTGGCCAAGTGAATCTGCTATTGCTTCAGAAAATTTTATCCATCAATGGTTTTTAAAATTGTTGTTAAAATTTGTTCATTTCACAGGAAAACAACTGTGGCATATGCAATTTTAAAAGTGTTCACAGTACCCACACAAAAGTTATTCACTTCTTTCAAGTCCCTGGTCACCCTTAAAAAAAAAAAAAAAAAAAAAAAAAAAATTACCTATATACAGTGAAAACTGTCTAATCCAACACCTGTGCAATATGTTATATGTTGTGCAATGAATTTGTGAATTCTGACCTTTATTTTCATTCCCATTTCACTATTTCCACGTTCTTTAATCCAACACGTACGTGTAATCCAACACCCTATCCAAACCTTATAGGCAAAGATAAAACATAGCTAATAAAGATTACAAAGCTCATTCTGATGAATATTATCTAGAGGCAAAGCAATCTCATACCAATTGAATGTTCATAATTCATTCAAGTTTGGTCCAGGTAGGGCTTATAGTTACTTGGGAATGGACTTGCTCCTAAAACTGGGATGCCAACACTTAAGCCAGGGTTATAGCATAAGCTCATCTTGACTTCTTCAAGGTGAGCTAAAAATAAAGTGACATGCATCTGTGGTTTGTAATTTTCAAATACAGAAAAAAATCAACTATGGACTTCTGTACTCTGTTTATTGTAAAAATATATACTGGGTACAATTTGAAATGCCCCATTGCAAAAAGGCTGATGGTTTAAATTTAAATACATAATATTACTATAGACTTGTAATTTTACAATTAAACAAACATATAATTATATGTAATTAAACATTATCTATAACGTTTAATTGTACATTCATCATGAAGTGAAACATATAAAAAAAAAAGATATGATACATTCTTATCTATAATACCACTACAGCCACCATTAATATTATGTAAATAAATTATTTTAAAAGAAATTTCAAACCTTGCATGGATGAGTTTATAATAGATCGAGTCATAATTGTATGACAAGGGTATACAGTATATATTTCAGCATTTTTCAGTTGGAGAGCTTACAGATAATAAATAACCATCTTTAATGTTGTCCAGTATGATTTGTAATTCCAAATATGATCTTTTCTGCTCAACAAGTTTCTTACACCTTATAACAGCTAGGTCCCATTATATTGTCATTGCAGAGAAAATATCCATCATTCAACATACTGCATACAAATAAGAGAATTCATGATATATAGTGTCTGGAGAATATACATTGCAATGTACATGAAGAAAATGAAATAGTATCATTCTCAAACAGATATATTTGGGATTTTAAAAAAATCCAAAACAACTAAATAAATGCTCTCTTCTTGAGACATACATCCTCTCAAGATCTCTACCACTAAAGTCCAACATGTATTGTCGTTAAGATTAAATCATATACTCATATAAAACTGGAATTTCAACTCAAAATGATCACAGCACCAAGTATCAGTTATTTCCCTTACACATATCATTTACCTATATCAGTAAACAAGAGGGAAAGTCAAACAAGGTTATTCATTACATAAAAAACTACAGTGTATGTGGAATGATTATAATTATAGAAAGGATGCCTATATTCCTAAAATAGTCAGCACTTTAAACTTTTGCTGGATGGATGTTTTCTTTCCAAATAAAAGAAAGTTCTGGATTTTAAAAAAGGGTTATCAGCTATTACACATACAATAAATACTGTTATAATCGCATATAAGTCAGCTCACTTAGTGGGTAGCAGACCCATTAATAAGTCAGCAGGATTTTTTGCCAGAATCAATAGCATATTTCAGTTCAATGTTCTTTTGTATTTACCTCCAGCTGTTTCAAAGTATGTTCTGGGGTATGATATTGATATTTGATTGTTATGTTAACAATATAAATATACATAATAAAAATATATATTTTGAACAATATATTAAATTGTTCAAAGCTGTAAGCACTTGTACTTCATGTTTATGGTAACCTTACATGATCCTTTCCTGCATGAAAGAACTTTTAGAATATGTCGGACTCCTGACTTTTGTCACTAAATAATAAACAATAGTAGTTGAAGTTGCATATAAATTTGGACAGAAACTTAACTACCAAAAAATCTAACTTATATGCAAGTATATAGTATACTATACAGTATTAAATGTAACATATCAATCCATTTGCTGAGCAGTTTATCACAGAAGTAATCATGGCAACAGTCATGTTCACAATTTACGTTAAGGCTCTTCCAGATTTTCCCATCTTCAACCTCCTATTAAAATCATAGGTCTGTTTTTCATTTTAGAAATGTTAAACATCCCTGCGTGTTGTTTCTTCTTGCGTTTGACGGCTTCTTCGATGACTTGCCAGATTTCGTCTTCCCCTGCCCCTTGACGCAATGCATCCCTTAGGGAAACTTCAGAATTCCCAAACAAGCACACCTTTAAATTTCCATCAGCTGTGACTCTGAGTCTATTGCAGGAACCACAAAAATGCTCACTCATGGAGGTAATGAATCCTATCTGCCCCACAAAGCCAGGCACTTTGTATGCTTTGGATGTATCATTTGTCTGATCTGTCAGTCTTTGGAGATCTGGATAGCTTGATTTAATAGTGTCAATCATTTCTGCATAAGACACCATCTTCTTGAAATTCCATTTGTTTCCATCAAATGGCATGTATTCTATGAACCTAATATCAACATTCTTATCTTTTGTGAGATCTACAAAGTTTACTATTTCCTCTTCATTCACTCCTCTCATAACAACACAGTTCACTTTTACTGGACTGTAGCCCAAATCTAATGCAATATCAATACTGTTCATCACTCGCTCCCATCCCTTTCTCCTTGTGATGAACTCAAATTTTGCCGGGATTAAGGTATCTAGACTGATATTTATTAGATTGAGTCCTGCTTCCTTCAGTTGAGGTAATTTCTTTCCTAGAGTTACTCCATTTGTTGTGATTGCTATTGTCTGCAAATCAAACTCAGTTTTGAAGGAATTGATCCCCTGAATAATTTCTACAAGATCTTTTCGTACTAATGGTTCACCTCCTGTCAAGCGAATTTTGTTGACTCCTTGCTTCATGAATAATTCTGCAATGCGTACAATTTCTTTGCTTGAGAGTAATCTCTCCTTAGGTGTTAAATCTACCCCTTCTTCTGGCATGCAGTATTGGCATCGGAGGTTGCACCGTTCACTTATTGAAATTCGGAGGTAGTTATGATGCCTTCCAAACAAATCCGTCAAAACTGAAGTTTCCTTTGACTTTGATTCAAACTTAGAAAGTTTTTCTTCTTCTTCCAGACATGTGGTATGCTGTGTGCGTTTTGCTTCTATTCTACTCGATGCTGTGTGTCCAATTCGCGTTTGAATATTCTTAAACACTTTGAAAAATTGTCTCCTCATTGTGGAAATGCAGTTATCTGACAAGACTGAAAACCATCAGACCCCCAGTTAAAATATAGGACAACCAAAAATTAGGTCAGCATCCCAATATCTTCTCTCGGTTTTGTTCCAGATTTAGTCATGTAAATGCGTATTCTTATTCAATTTCAGTAGCGAGAAAGTAGGGCTAAATTACCGAGTATCTCTTTTTCTATACACAATGACACGTGCACATTGCATCCCTATGTCAACAATCTAATCAAATTGAAAGTGCAAGTCGCAATTCATGAGTAAGTCGTTCTTGGAACTTTTCGCTCATGCAAACACTGAAACAGCAAAGCCTTTCATCTTCATATGGAAGTAAATATATACGTTGTAAAACTTCCATAGTTCTATTTGCTTATATTTTGTATCTTCACATAAATAAAGAGTTACAAAATAGTTTTAATCTACCAAGGAACGAATTTGACACTAGGTGTCGCTTCTCTATGCCCGCCATGAATATTTTGTTTAACTTGGATCCACAATGAAAGTGACACAATTTTGTATGACACGTTATCAGACCCGTCCTTAAGAACAAGAGAGGATACTTTGGTAAGGACGATAATTCCTAGGGGTTAAATATAAATACTATAGTATCGATTTCTATGCTTTGTTAGGTGTGTATAGGCCATATTCCAAAACTTGAAACTGTCAATTTCAAAGACGTTGTGAAGTCGAAGCATTGGCCATTGCCATGATTGCCGAGTGTAAGTGTGATAAGTTGTAGTATTTTTATTCTAACGTCAAATTATGAAAATCTGTTTCGCCTATCTGATTTGATTGATTAGCCTTGTTTATCAATTTCATGGAACACTGATCTGGTGTCAAAGTATATTGTGGAGGAAATTCGAAATTTATGTAAATGTGATTTATCATGTTTATTAGAAACAAAATCAAGAGATCAAAAGTGTCAAAGCATAGGCATATGAATGTTATATTGAAATGAAGAAAATCTTGAGCCAAAAAATGTGTGTTTCCATTTGTGAGTTAGTTTCTTTTGAGTCCAGGTGTAGGTTTTGTTTATAATAGATAAGATGCATGCATTTTTATATTGAATATTCTTGTAAAAATGTTCAAATTTTTTACATTGCATTTTCCATCACTGGATTCATTAATATATCAAATTTTTCCCATACCAACCAAGTTGTTTACTAATAATGAAAGAAGAGAAATAGATTTTCAAAGGATCTTTTTTCAGGTATGTACAGAATTTCTTTCATAATCTTGATGATAGAAAATAACTTTTTGATAACATCTTTGAATTGCAAAAGCTGGAAAGTCATTTATGAATTTACATGTTGATCCAAGAACAAAAGGAAACACACATTTTATGGGCAAAATGAAGAAAATTGAAGTATTTTTTTTTCTTTTCAGACTTTTGATGGTGTCCAAGGATTCATTGTTCATAAATTTTCATTTGATTGCATGATGTATGTCATGCCTTGAAAGGTGTGAAAATACTTTCGTTACTGCAATACTTTATTAACTTGGAAAGAAAATGTCTGAGAAATATCATAAAGATGGACTATACCGATGGAAAAGGCAAACAGACAATAAAGTGTATTCTAGATCACAGAAAGTGGCCACAACAAGTGATATTCAAAACTGGATCCAGAAAGTTGAAGATGCCTCACAAAGAGCAGCAGAGAGTGTTTTTCAGGGAAAGCCATCAAGACCTCATTCAGGGAAGAGATCTGCAGCTCTGCAGACTGTGGCTCAACTACGGGAACACGACACAGCTCTTACAGAGGCCCAGGATCTCCTGTCTCAGTGGATGGAGGACAAGGTCCGTCTAGATGTGGATGATGGCGGTGGGGATGTCTTCACTGATGATGCTTTGTATCAGAGAACACTAGAATCTAAGGTCAAGAAGGAATGGGATCACATGTTGGATAACAACTTTGAACCTGTTGACATGCCAAGAGTAGTGAAAGAAGACAAGTCTGATCCATATGCTTTTCTGGATAAAATGGATGAAAAGGAAGCTGTGGATTCTATCATTGAGCATATGTTGAATAAGAAACTAGTGAAAGAAGCATTTACGGAGGATCTCGGACTGGATGAGTCATCAACTTACAAAGATCCCAGAACTAAAATGGAGCTTCGACATAAACAGGTGAAAGAGAATCGTGAGAAAAGAGAAAAACAGTTAGAGATGAAAAGGAGAGAACAGCAGGCTAGAAAAACAGCTCAAAATCATGCTAAATTAATGATTATGAAGGAAGAGAAGGACAAGCTAATTAAAGCTAGACAAGAGGAGATGAGTATTAAAAAAGAAATGGCTCGAATAAGGAAAGAAATGCAGGAGGAAAGACAGAAGCAGAAAGAGGCTAAAAAAAGTGAAGAGACAGAGAAGAAAACTGTGATATCAGAAGCCAGACTTATGGTTGACCAGCAGAGAGAGAGAGAAAGAGCAGAAAGACTCCAAAAACAATTAGAAATGGAAGAAAGACAAAAGGTACTGATTCAGAAAATGGAGGAAATGGAGGTTCAGAGAAAAGCTAATGAATTGAAGATTTTACACAACTGTTTTAAAGCCTGGTACAATGTTGTATTAGAGAGAAGATTACAAATTGGGAAAGCAAGGGCTTTATCTGATTGGAAGCTTCTCCTTAGGGCTTGGAATGGATGGAGGTCTGTTGTGCGATCTAAGAAGTTAGAGATGGAAGCAAGGCAGCATGAAATTGATGTGATCAAAACCCACAGAAACAACCAGAGAGCAGAAAACTACCACAGACTTGTATTACTGAAAAAATATTTTTTAGCTTGGCAAATATGGATAAACCAAGAGCAAGAGAGGAAAGAAATGAAAAACATGCAAGAGGAAACAAAGAAGAAAATGGCAGTGTTTCTAGAAGCTGCACAGGAGGGGAAGCTATGGACAGGAGCTCAAGATGACTCTAGTGTACCTAAAGATGTACAAAAGGTGAATGTTGATGAGTTTTTCAACACACAACCAAAACGACCTTCAAGTTCTTTAAGTACAGTATCCTCTGATACGAACATCTCACATAAACAGAAAATATCACCTCCAAACAGAATTCCAACACAGGCATGGCAAATAAACAGGAGACATTTGAACTTAACTCCAGAAGAAATAGGAAAACTAGGAGGAGGAGAAAATTTGGTTGAACAGGAGAAGCCAACAGATGTACAAGTCAGGAAGAGGTTTGGAACACAGCCATGGATGAACACAAAATACATTACAAATAACTTTGAAAATCGACACAATTCTCAGCAAAAGATCATTAAAGAGCAACAAAAGCAGCTTCAAGAGCAAAGGAGAATGATAGAGGATTTACAGTTTGCTCAACAGAAACAAATGCTTCAACAGCAAGCAGACACTCAAAAAGAAATCCAAAACTTGTTAGATAAACAGCCATTATCAGAGAAAGTGTTGAAGGAAAGAGGATGGCTGTCAAATCAGACAGCTGCAAACAGATCTGAGACAAGTGTAAAAACTCAAGGAAACAGAGAACACCACAAACATCCACCTGAAACAAATAGGTCTACCGTAAATGATGGTGAAAGAACAAGTAGATCCAATGTTTCCTCGATTACAACCTCTACTGTAAAATCTAACAGCAAGTATCTAGCCCTTCAAAAGAAGATGGATGAAAGAGCTGCTGAAAGGGCTAAACTGAAAATGGAAAGGGAAGAAAAGAGGAGACAGATGGAGGAAGAAAGATTGGAGAAGTTGAAAGCTGAGGAAGAGGAACTTATACGAAAGGAGCAGGAGGAGAAAAAGGCGAGGATTGCTGCAGTCCAAGAGAAAAAGAAACAGGAAAAATTAAGAGAACAGCGAAAACTGGAACTGGAAGAGAAAATGAAGAGGCTTTCTGCCATGGCAGACGAACACTACCTGAAGTCATTACTGAAATACAAGGGCATGCTTCGGTTTAAAAAACTGGTGGAAAAGGCAAGACAAGATGAAGTGAGAGCTGTGAAACACTGGAGAGAATGTTTGAAGAGGAAAGTCCTAAGACAGTGGAGGGACAATGTCGAAGAAATTCTGAGAGAGAAAGAGAAAATGGCTGTCAAAATGTTTGAGTATTTACTGATCAAAAGATGTTTCAAAAACTGGAGACTAGTTAAGAATCATGTGGAAATTCTTGAAGGAAGGGCAAAACGTTACCACAATAGAAATTTGAAAAACAAAATCTTCTTAACCTGGCGTGACTGGGCACAGCAGGAAAAGATAGATAATATTGAAAAAGAGAGGAGAGCAAGGGAACATTGTATTTGGAGTTTGAAATCCAGGTACTTTCACAAGTGGAGAAGGCATCCAGAGGAATTGAAGAAAGAGAGAGAACGAGAAAAGCGGAGGAAAGACATGAGGTTGACAGTTGCTGCTCTTCTACCAGACTACGAGGGAATAGGGAGAAAAAGTCAAAACGTGGAGGAGGATGTTGATTAGGGAAATCTTTATCATTCCATTCTATCGTATATTTTCTCAATGTTGAGGGTTTTTTGTGTAGTTACAATATTATAAATAAAATTGATTGTGCATTTAGTAAAATCAGTTTAAAAGGTATACATTGGAATGTCATATAATCAGTTTCAATTATGAAATAAGTTTGTAAGAAATGAAATTCACACATTTTTATATATTTAAGGCTTCAAATTCTGTGAATATTAATTTTTTTGCATTCTAATTTAAGGTTGAGGTTCTGAAAGTCACTTGTTGCACCCCTTTACATACAGAAAAGTCTCTTAAAATAATTTACTAAATAGGGTCAAAATTCAGGCTATTTGATTATCTGAACATGGTATCATTGGAACTATATATGTGATGCATTTTTAAGTCTAAAATTCATTGACATATATACATGCATTGAATATAAAAGCCATCAGCATCCATGCATTTAAAAAAAATATATAGCTAGCATGTTGTTAACATCTGGTTTATATCTCTGAGTTGTTTAAATAGCATTTGAATTCCTGCAATAAATGTCACGTGTATATTGGGTTAATTTTATGAAGTTAAACATTTATTTGGCCCATTTTGTATAAGAAGTTCATAGAAAAGGAATAATTTGAGGGAGCAATTGTCATATATATATATATATATATATATATATATATATATATATATATATATATATATATATATATATATATATATTAGATAAATTGATATAGCAGAAATGTTCTTTGCATAGATATAGGTTTCAATGATAGTTGATGACTAGATAGTCAAAGGGAGACAACATAGTTCTCTAGTTTTCCATTGGAATTTTTTTTTGTCCTCAACAGTCTCTTGAATTTCTTTAAAACCAGTTAACTTTAATGAAGTATCAGTAAATTAACTTCTTGTACAAATACTTCATTTGCTAGTGTAAACACCTATTGACTCTACTTTTTAGGTCACCTGAGTCACTCGGGTGACCTATTGCTATCCGTTCTCGTCCGTCGGCGTGCGATGTGCGTCGTGTGTTAACATTTGAACATTTTTAGCTTCTTCTCTGAAACCACTGAACCAATTTCAACCAAATTTGGCATATAGCATCTATGGGTGAAGGGGAACAAAAATTGTGAACTCCATGGTCCCTGCCCCCCTGGGGCCTGAGGGGTGGGGCTAAAACCACCAAAAATAATGCAATCTTTAAAAATCTTCTTCTTTACTCCTGGACATCAAGCAGTCAAACTGTTGGCATCATTGTAATAAGCATTGAGACCTCTACCAAAATTGTGAAATTCATGGCCCCAGGGTCAGGGGTTCTGGTGCTAGGGTGGGGCTATATAGATCATATAGTGAAAGTGCATTATTTCTTTGAAAATCTTCTTCTCTGCTCCTGGGTATTAAATAAAGTAACTAAGTACATAGTTATGAAGAACAAGAGTGCCTCTTTCAAAATTGTGAAATTTATGGCCCCAGGGTCAGGGGTTCTGGTGTTAGGGTGGGGCTCTATTGATTATATAGTGAAAATGTTATTAATTCTTTGAAAATCTTCTTCTCTGCTCCTGGGTATTAAATAAATTAACTAAGTATATAGTTATGATGAGCAAGAGTGCCTCTTTCAAAATTGTGAATTACATGGCCCCAGGGTCAGGGGTTCTGGTGTTAGGGCAGGGCTTTATTGATTATATTGTTAAAATACATTAATTCTTTGAAAATCTTCTTATCTGCTCTTGGTTATTAAATGAACTAATTTAGTACTTAGTTATGATGAGCAAGAGTGCCTCTTCCAAAATTGTGAAATTCATGGCCCCAGGGTCAGGGGTTCTGTTGTTAGGTCGGGGCTCTATTGATTATATAGTTAAAATGCATTAATTCTTTGAAAATCTTTTTCTCTGCTCCTGGGTATTGAATAAAGTAACTTAGTACATAGTTATGATGAGCAAGAGTGCCTCTTCCAAAATTGTGAAATTCATGGCCCCAGGGTCAGGGGTTCTGGTGTTAGGGCGGGGCTCTATTGATTATATAGTGAAAATGTTATTAATTCTTTGAAAATCTTCTTCTCTGCTCCTGGATATTAAATGAACTAAGTTAGTACATAGTTATGATGAGCAAGAGTGCCTCTTCTGAAATTATGAATTTCATGGCCCCAGGGTCAGGGGTTCTGGTGTGAGGGTGGGGCTCTATTGATTATTAGTGAAAAGGCATTAATTCTTTGAAAATCTTCTTCTCTGCTCCTGGGTATTAGATAAACTAACTTAGTATATAGTTATGATGAGCAAGAGTACCTCTTTCAAAATTTTGAATTTCATGGCCCCAGGGTCAGGGGTTCTGGTGTTAGGGCGGGGCTCTATTGATTATATAGAAGAATTGCAATAATTTTCTCTGCTCCTGGGTATTAAGTACATAGTTATGAAGAACAAGAGTGCCTCTTTCAAAATTGTGAATTTCATGGCCCCAGGGTCAGGGTTCTGGAGTTAGGGCGGGGCTCTATTGATTAGGCCAAACAAAAAAATGTGTGTGGTTCCGGTTACACTTCCAAATAAATTAGGGTAGGTAGGTAGGGATTTTTTTTTTTTTTTTTTTTTTTTTTTTTAACAAAATGATTTTCTTAAATTTTTCTAAATAATACCTATCACTGCTTTGCAAATGGCATTTAGATGTGATGTGATAATATACTAGTCAATATTGGTAGGGGACACCTACATGCTAGCTTGCTTTGGATTTAACGCTATTAATCACTTGCACTATGTTTTGCAAGGAGGCCGTCATTGCTGAAACTAAAACTTAAACTGGAGCCATTGATGGAAATCGGGGGGAAATTCCGGAAAAAATATGAAAATTGCCAAAAAAAAGTTTAGGGTCGGGGGTATAAAATAGGGAAGGTCGGGTAACCGGAACCACATATATTTTTTTATTTGGCCTTATATAGTTAAAATGCATTAAACTTTGAAAATCTTCTCTGCTCCTGGGCATTAAATAAAGTAACTTAGTACATAGTTATGATGAGCAAGAGTGCCTCTTCTGAAATTATGAATTTCATGGCCCCAGGGTCATGGGTTCTGGTGTTAGGGCGGGGCTCTATTGATTATATAGTAGAATTGCATTAATTCTTTGAAAATCTTTTTCTCTGCTCCTGGGTATTAAATAAACTAACTAAGAACATAGTTAGGGTGAGCATGACTGCCTTTTCAGAAATTGTTTCATGGCCCTTGGGTCAGGGGTTCTGGTGTTAGGGATGGGCTCCATTGATTATATAGTAAAATTGCATTAATTCTTTGAAAATCTTCTCTGCTCCTGGATATTAAATAAACTATGTACATAGTTATGATGAGCATGACTGCCTCAGAAATTATGAATTTAATGGCCTCTGGGTCAGGGGTTCTGGTGTTAGGGCGGGGCTCTATTGATTATATAGGGAATAGGCATGAATTCTTTCAAAATCTTCTGTGCGCCTGGGTATTTTTCAAACAAAGGAAGTGCATGGTTATGATAAGGAGGAATGCCTCATGGCCCTTGGGTCAGGGGTTCTGGTGAGGGGGAAAGAGCTCTATTGATTATATACAGTGAAAATGCATAAGTTCTTTCAAAATATTTTTTCTACTACTGGTTATAAAGTAAAGAAACAAGCGTATAGTTATAATGAGAAAAGGTGCTTCTTCCAGAATTGTGAGTTCGTGGCCAATGGGTCAGATGTTCTGGGTAAGGATGGGGCTTTATTTAATAATATGGTGAAAATGCATTTCTTTGAAAATCTTCTATGCTTCTGGGGATGTTCAAGGCAAACAGAGGAAAAGTTTTAATATGCAAGGGTATTTTTACCAGAATTTTGAACACCTGGACCATTTAGTCAAGTGTTCTAGTCCTGGCCAGGGCTCTATTAACTTGTATTCTGCTGAGCAAAGTTATTAAACCTTTGCCATTCACCTTTGATAATTAATCAATGTAAATAATGTATTTGAAAGCTTAATAGAATAAGAGAATTATGCAAGATAATTTATTGTATAATGAAAAAGTACTTTCATAGATTTAATGACTTGGAAAGTCAGATAGGCAGATAGATACTAGACCAATTATTTTGTTGATGCTAATCATACTATTTTTCTTGCTTTTGGGCAACAAAGCTTCATTTTTCAGTTTATGGATCCTCTAAATTGTTGTATTGTACTCAGGTGACCGTTAAGGCCCTTGGGCCTCTTGTTTTTTATGGAAGTTGAATGGGAAGAGAGTTCTTTTCTAGGTTCCAAGTGGTATTACACAAATGCTTTCATTTATGTGAGTTTGTAATACTCTTGTTTTGTTATTAAAGAAGATAAGAAGCATATGTTTTGATTCTCTTTTTGAATATCATTATTGGAGATAATTTTTTTTATGTCCATTGACTTTCATGCAATTCTGATGGCAACAGCTAATATTTTGATAGCTAAAAGATTTAAATTGGCCAGGCCCTGAGGTTATTACAGTGTTAACATAACTTATCACCAAGTACATGTAGCAACATGCTTCTAGGTATGGGACTTATTTTCTTAAAAGACCAAGAAAATTAACAGAGGATTTTTAAAATGCTTTGAAATGTTTTTGTTTTATTAGCAGTTCCGTGAATTAAAAAGCTTATCCTTACTATTTTTTTAAATGGGGTCAATGAAATGAAATTTAAAGGAACTTCAAAACATGTCCAGGGTCATGAAAAAACAAAAACATCAATATTATTTTGTGTGAGTGGTAAAGATGCTTATGGTAAAAGCATTCATCCATTATCTCTTGAGGAGGGGATAATCCCGGAAAAACACATCTTTTAAAGAATTTTATCTTCACAGTTATGTCAACTGTTCAAAGGATCATTCACTTCTCAATGAATGGAGACAACTCTCACTAGCTGATAATGTCACATACAGAATTATATATGTCTGCAATGTTGAAAATTGGCTTTTAACAAAACGATCAATTATCAAGACATGTTAAATAGAGGACTTTGCATATACTTGTATGTACACATACATGCATGAATGATTGTGGCTAACACAAGACAATTGGGTCCTTTAAATTTTCATGTACCAATACTTCAGTCATTAGCTCATTTCTGAGAGGGGTAAAGGTTTGTTTTGTGAACTCAATGTCAAGTTTATGAGGGAATTTTATGAACATATTCATTTCAGAAGGTAAAACTTTCAGTCATATGTATAAACACAAGTGTAAAAGGATGAAGGATTAATCAATGCACAAGTATTTAATAAGATTGTAAAATTAAATCATGCATGTATCATTAAAAAAAATTATCCTTGTATTAATTTCCAGCACATGCAGGTCACATTTTACTGATTATGCATTCTTGCTGTAGCCACAACGTTGTGACATATTGGTATAATATAATTTTTTCACGGGAAATGATGAGCAATGTCGATAGTGTTTACACAGATTATGTGATATTTCAATAATGTGACAAAAAAGAAAGCGCCTATATCCTGTGCAGTGTTTATCATTGCTTATCTAGAATATGTATGAAGAGAGAGTGTTAAATCGGTTGTTCATTCTATAGTGTAGTCAAACAGAATTTGGATGAGTATGTCTCGTACATTGTAGCAGTATTGGATTTGGCATGGTGTTTATTGGTTAGGATGAGAGGGTAGATTAAGGCTGTTCTAACAGTGACCCTCCACTTAACACGTTCTTAAGATCAAGGGAAAAGTTAAACACCCGCTCCAACAATAACTTGTGAACAATGTGTATTGATAAAATATCCTATGTCCTTTAATAATTGTCCACTGCAAGATTGGACACATGAATATTGCTGTACATAACATGGTTTTGTAACTTTCTTTGAGGGTAAAAGTCAGGCTGGTTTAATTCGCTAATCGCTGTTTTCAGTCTGTGGGATAATCCCACAAAGACCACACTCATTTAATGGTGAGGTCAGCAGGACTATAATAGGACTGATGTCCAGTGCCTTTGTTTTATGAGTTCTTGGTTTTAATCTCCAGGTTGTGTAATGTGAAGATTTTCTGGACTTGGTCATTGTGGATGTACACTAGCCATGTCATGGGCTGGATCAGGAACCCCTATACAAAGTAATGTTCCAGGTAAGCTGTTTATTACATAATTTTTCTTTCTCTTTTTAGCTAGAATATATTAGTTATGAAATATGTATATTAATTGATCAATGTACTGTATGAGCATACTGAATTAAGAAAAATTTGAATTGATATATAATTTAGTTTGTTCTTTTGCACCAACTTGTATGTTTGTCATGTACATGTAAGTGTTGTAGGATTTGAAAATAAAAATAAATAAGAAAAGAAATTGTGTAAGTTTAAAGAGTATCACTTTTACAACCTTTTTAGTATTTTAGAAATCTTAACATTGAAATATATCCTTTTAGCATTTTAGAAATATAGTGGAATTGTGGGAATAAATATTTCAGATATGTGAAATAAGTGAGAGTATGTATTGAGATAATTTAAATCAATAATTTATTCCAAGACCAGTTGCTTATATATTGCTTTATAAATTGAAAAAGTAAATACATGCATTAAACCCCTTTCATTGTTCCTGACAATGCCTAGTTATGTACAAGTCCTTTCTGAATATATATCAAGGAGATAGCTATTCTGAATACCGGTATGTTTGTTTTTTAAATTTTAAATACCATGCACATATTGTCACCTGGAGAATTGTAGACACTTGCCATTCTTAAGTCTCTAGGAATGTTTGACAGAAAATCAAAAGAATAACTTGACAATAATACTCTCCTCATTCTTACTGTTTGACGTCTACAACGAGCTAGGCTTTCTGAAAATTTGTTAACAACTATTGAATGTTGACCCTTATTTCTACCCCCTAGTTGTGCCTATTGGGTCAAGGGTTCAATTTTTTGGTTGAATTTCTGATAAATTAATCAATAGTAAATATAGTCAAGTTTTAAAAATGTGTCATACAAGAAGATACAAAATATATAATTTTTGTTCACACACACACAAAATGATTTTCTATAGTATATTTCTAGTTAGTAGCAAAGAAATCTCTATATTCATTTGTTATAATATTGGCTTTGTTATCTTTTGAGCATTTTAAATCCATATATAGACATAAAGTTTCTCATACTTGTATATTAGGCCATAAAACAACATCTAGGTTAATCATCCAACATTATCTTCCTATGGAGTGTATTTGAGGCCTTTGTACACAATGTACTGAGAAGATCTGCGAAGTTCTGCATAGAAAATGATGATGTTTATCTCGGTAATGATAAGTAATGGCCCTTTAATGTTTAAATTTCCGATTAATTGAGATGTATGCCTTGAATTGTGCTGTCCCATGTACATGTGATTAATTTAGCTCAGTTGGTTCATTGCACACTAGGGTAGGGACCTATGGTTTAATATTTCAGGTAAGACAAGATTTTTAGGAGCAGATGCTTGTCTTTGATCTCTCCTTGGTAACCTGTCCATGCTTTTACAACATGTGTAATCATAATTATATAGAAATAATACATAATCATTGCATTCAATCTAGTATTCTACTATATTCCTTAAAATGATGCATTTATCAGAGAGCTGTATATATTTATGCAGCAGGCTGTTGAGATGCTTCTGGTTCATGATCTTTATTTTCTAGTCCATATGTTTTTTCACATATTTTGGAAAGCAGGAATTGCAATACAGGTATTTCAATAAAATCCAGTAACATATCAATTATAGTTGACAAGACACTGTCTTAGCTATGATTAATCCATCAGTAGCATATTGTAGAAGTTCAGGTAAAGTATGTTGTATTGCATTCTCGTTGAACATTAACGACACAGTGTTCAGTGTTACATAGGTGAATGGAAAGTATATATGAATGTCATGCAGGATATATGTGAAAAATGTTTAACATGTTTTTGAAAAAATGTTAATGCAGCACAAAGTAAACTAGTTAACAATAACTCTTTGATGTATCCATGAAAAAAAGTGTAATCTAATGCTAAATTCCTCCTGAGAATATACAAAATCAATCAGTGTTACATTTTAATTTTATATAATGGATCATAGTAAAACATGACAGTCCTTTAAATATCTGGATAAAATGTAAGCAGCTTTATTAAAATATTTAAAACAAGAATCAGAATCGGTGGGAGATAAAAGAATGGATGTGATCAGACAATATTTTAGTGAGTCTTCCCTATGTTCAGAGAGCACTGAATTCTAATGTTAGGATTTTTAGGATTAATAAAGACAGATGTTGTTTAATCAGATATTTCTGTTATTATTTCAGATTATCAGAAGATGCTACAGAGTAATCTTCTATCATCAGGTATGTGGTTATACATCTTTAATCTGATAAAGTAGATTGCTCTACACAACATCTGTTTTACATCAGTGATGTCATTCCTTTATTAGTGTTCATGTAAAACTGTGTGACAAAGAGAGCTAAAGACACATAGTAAAAAGAAAATGTTATAAGGCGGCACAGATCTTCATTTTTATCTTCCCCTCCCTCCCTTCCCTTGAAACACGTATGTATCATAGAGTACTGTAAAAAATCACTTTTTTGTGGGGGTCAAATTTTCATGGATTGATAAAAAAAACTTTGTTAGAGGGCATCCAAAGCTTCCAAACCCTACGATTTTGGCGTAAGACTAAAGGATAGAGCAGCTAAAATACACCTTATGATTTCTCTATTTATTCTCCCGATTGATTTCCATTTTTCTCATTCAAAAGTTTAAAAAAAAAACACAGAATTTTTCGAGATGTCCATGTTCAGTTTTCACTGTTATAACAAAAAAGTCGTAGTCCTTTCAGCGGTAGCAAGATAATGTATATGTAATACTGTATAAAAAAAAATATACAAAGATAAAGGTACGTGGGGGAGTATTTAAGCAAATAAATGGTATTGCATATTTTTCATAAATTGCCCCCCTGTGTAAGTTTCCATGTTTACATTAAAGCATTTTTCATATCTTGTAGGCTGGAGTAGCAGAGGAGGATCAGAGAGATATAACAGTTACTCCCACCCCAAGAGTCCGCTGTCCCCCACCCCTCAGGACACCCTCACAAATGGACTCAGTTATTCCGACTCGGTCCATCGACCTCATTACCAGTCATACAGACCATCTAAGTATGGAATAACTGATTCAACATATCTAGAGAAAGACTTTAAGGAATTGTCTGCGGAGGATACTTACAGTTATCCAAAGTATGACAGTACGGTCAGTAAAGATACGTTAGAGAGACCGAGATATGACATCAAAGACACACTTGAACGACCTCATAAGTATGACTCGTCTAGTGAACTGTACCAAAGGAAGTACTCCAGTTATACTGTGTCACATGGAGAGGATATTGATGGTCCAATCAATGACAATAATTGGGCCTCGCCCCCAAAATCAGCCCCCTCAGATATTCCAAGTTCAGTATACACAGCACCAGTGAAGTCTCGATCTTCCGTGACAGATGGAGCTGATTATGTGAGGGACAGTAGGAAATCCTCAACTCTATATGAGGATAAGTATTACTCTGATAACGATGCTGTGACTCGTAGTTCTAAATCTCGCTCGAGATATGGCGGAGATTTGAAGTACATGACAGGTGATTTGAGGCAGTGGCAGAGAGGACATATGGACACGTATAGAGAAACTTCCCCCAGCACCCAGGTAAAATTTGCTGTATGTGGATAGGGGAGGGGAATTAATCTCCAGTTCAACTGAATTATTTGTAGTGACTTATGAAATGGCTCTGAATTTATGGATTGCCAAATATAGCAGCAGGCATTATACCCTGTGTACACTATACACTGTACTTATAGATATGGCCAAGTGTATCTAGTACAATAGTAAGTATGAAGACTTGTATGTATACTGACAACTGTGATTGCAGAACTATTTTTCAATAACTATAGCTTGTGTATGTGTTACTCATGAAATCATCTTAACCCAAGTAATAAGACTGGTGTCTACATCACATTCATTATTTTCAAAATTCACCTCAGAATAATGCATTCCACACGAGTGCTTTGAGCATGAGAACTGATAATAATGAAATTCACTGACCTTTTACCTTATTCAAGTAACTTTTTATCTTGTATGTGCTTTTGATCAAATTAAAAAAGTGTTGATATCTATCATTTGTAAAAATTAAGGAACACGATCAGTGGAATGCACTTTGACCAACATTCACAGAATATAGGCATGGAAGCACAAAATTAATTATATGCAGGCTTAATTGATGTTGAGAATTATATCTTGAAATGAAATTATCCCCATATAAATATTTAAAGAAAAATATAAAAAGCCATGAATGAAAAGAAGTAAAAAGACTGAAATAGATGGTAAATGTGTAAAGGGGAATAACTCTCTTTTTAAAAACTTTGGTGACTTGATACAATTTTATCACCAGCAAACATCCTTAGACTCTTCTTACTGGACAAACACCAGAGGCTTCACATACAGTGTAGGTATTCATACATAATTATACTGTCATTTTGACTATTGTTTAATTTCAAGCTAAGGAGATTAATAGGTTTGATTAGGTCTATTTTATGCATTATAGGGATTTTTTTATATATGTTAAGAGAAGTTTTCTTCAGTTTGGTTGATGCTCTGTAGGTTTATATTATTTTATTCCCTTTTTTAAAAGAGTGATCAATTTTTTAAAAAAAGGCTGAGCAATTTTTTTTGGTGCTTTCAAGTAGTTTTGTTTTGTTTTTAGACTATTTAGACTATTTTACATTTCGTAGGACATTATTGGAGAAATATTTTTTAAGTAGATTATATTTTGGCTTTGAATGGAATCCTTTGCTGGTTATAGCAGTGGAATTGTTGTAGAAATTTATATTTTTTAAGTATTTTTTAACATATTGAATTTTTTACTTCACATGAAATGTATAACTAAAATATAGTTAAATGAAAACTGAAATAGTTTGTTTGGCAGTTACTAGTACTCATTTTTATAAGCTTAAGTATATACATGTATGTATTAACTTTAACTCTCAGAAGACTAAGTGCTCACTTTTTTTATAATTTTTTTTTCTTCAGGGAAACTCTAAAGGTGAAACCAATGGAGGTTTTGACTCTCTGTTTAAAAATATTGACGATAATCCCAGAAAGTGGGCATCAGTTAGTAAAGCAGCTGATGATATTATCAAGGAAAAGGACACCTTGGTTGAAAAGTTTGTCAGATTTTATTTAAAATTCATTTTTATACAAAGAAATCTTCATTTGATGGTTTTTTTCTTTCCTAAGATGTTTTGTATAAAAATGTTTTTTTAATAAGGAAACATTTTCCTTGCAGGTTAAAGATGCAGGTGATGAGGTTGGAGGAAGACAACAAACAGTATGAAGGAAAACTCAAGAGAGCAGTACTGAATGGAGAGGGGGGAGAAGGGGAGGCTTACAAACAAATACAGGTAGGAGTGAGGGGGGAGGGGGCTACAAACAGGACAATAAACAGGTAGGAGGGAGGGAGGCCTACAAACAAATACAGGTAGGAGTGAGGGGAGGGAGGGGCCTTCAAACAAATACAGGTAGGAGTGAAGGGGGGTGTACAAACAGGTAGGAGGGAGGGGAGGCCTACAAACAAATACAGATAGGAGATAGGGAAGGCCTACAAATAAATACAGGTAGGAGTGGGGGGGGGGGGTACAAACAGATAGATAGGAATGGGAGGCCTATAAACAGATACAGGTATGGGATGGGACTACAAAGAAATACAGATAGATGGGAGTCGGAGGCCTATAAACAAATACAGGTAGGAGTGGGGGAGGGTACAAACAAATACAGGTAGGAGTGAAGGGGGGGGTTACAAACAAATACAGATAGGAGATAATGGAGGCCTACAAACAAATACAGGTAGGAGCGTGCAAAGGGGGGGGGGGGGGGGGTGACAAACAAATACAAATAGAAGATAGGGGTGGCCTACAAAAAAATACAGGTAGGAGAGAGGGGAGGGGGGGTTAGGCTAAAAACACAGATAGGTGGGAGGGGGAGACCTACAAAGTACAAACAAATACTGATTGGGGAGAGAAGGATTAAAAGCCAATACACCTTGGTAGAGGTAGGGATAGGTGGGAACCTACAAACTGGTAAGAGAGATTGGGAGGTATACGAACACAAATAGATAGAAGGGGAAGGGTGAACAAATAAATACAGTAACATGTGTAACAGGGAGAGGAAAGTAACAAAAAGCAGGTCGAATACCTTCAAAGGGATAATAGAAGAGAGATAGAGTTATTTATAAACTAACACAAATAGGATAGCAGGACAGAGAAACTGCAGGTTTGTTAGACTTACAGTTTAGAATTCTCTTCTTAAGAATAAAAATTGTTATATAATTTTGAACCCATTTAACATGTTTAAAATGTTCATATCCAGTTTATGATACATGTATTATTTGTTCTTATCTCTGCAGAGGCTTATTAACCATGAAATAAAATACATTTTGTATCTGAAATATATTAATATTTCAATGGATATATGACAATGAATTATTTTTGTTATCATATGCTTAACTATTGGAGTTAACGGCAGTAATTTTTTTTTCTTGAATCATTGATTGATATGTTTGAATATAAACATCAAACAAATAATTGTAGGAACTTGAACTCAAGAATGCACAACTAAAAGCAGAGAATGCAGAAATTAGAACTAAGAAGAATGCTGAGTTGGATGAGTTGGAAATGAAGTTAGGGTAAGATTCTATATAAGTCATCAGATATATAATCATGATTGATATATTTAACTGTATTTCAAATCTCTTGAGTAACTGCCAGTTTATTGTTACTGTTTCTTCTATCCTTGTTTGCACCTGATATACGTAAACATTTTCTTATATTGCCCTGCAGAGCCACAGAACAGGAAGTAGACCAGCTGAGAGCAATACTCAGAAAACGAGGGTCAGGTCCAGAGTACTCAAACTCACAGGTAAATAACTCAGACTTGCAGGTTAAAAACTCAAACTCACAGGTAAATAACTCAAACTCACGGGTAAATAACTCAGACTCATGGGTAAATAACTCAGACTTACAGGTAACTAACTCAAACTCACAGGTAAATAAATCAGACTCACAGGTAAATAACTCAGACTCACAGGTGAATAACTCAGTCTCTCAGGTAAATATCTCAAACTCACAGGTAAATATTTCATACTCTCAGGGAAATAACTCAGACTTACAGGTAAATAACTCAGACTCACAGGTAAATAACTCAAACTCACAGGTAAATAACTCAAACTCACGGGTAAATAACTCAGACTCGCGGGTAAATAACTCAGACTTACAGGTAACTAACTCAAAGTCACAGGTAAATAAATCAGACTCACAAGAAAGTAACTCAGACTCACAGGCAAATAAAACTGACTCACGGGTAAATAAGTCAGACTCAGGGGTAAATAACTCAGACTCACATGTAAATAACTCAGACTCACAGGTAAATAAATTATTTTGAAGAATGTCATATTGTGTCTGACTCATGGATAAACTAAACCCTAAAGAGGGTACTTAGGTAAAAATAAAACCTTCAAGTTGAATAAGACTTAAAACAATGTCATGGTAATGTGTTATATATACTGTAATATAGTACAAATATACTGGATTAATAATACTAATAATTATACTAATATCTTGGATAAATTACACTTAGGACAGAAACTTAATTAAAATGCAAGACATACTTGGTTCTGTAAGCAGTATAATCTTGTATTGTAGTTTTATGAGCTGGACAGAGAGAAAGAGGACTGGAAGAGGAAATACCTTGAGATGTTTGATAATCACAGTCAGATGAAGGAAAAACTGGACGAACTACAAAGTTATCTGTCTGACCTTCCTACAGTAGAGGAAAGCATGAAAAATGTCCAAGAAATATCCTTCATTATAGATTCCTTATTGCATTTAGAGGGATTCATTTCATTTTTAATCCATTGCTTGGCATGAATCAACTTTTTTTTAAAGCCTCAACTTTCAGTAATTCTGTTTATGTATATTAAAATATTCATATTTACAAGTTAATAAAAATGATTTGTCAAAGATATGTCTCATATAATGATTTCTTGCACAATCCATTTAGACTGCTAAAATTTATGAACATGTACCAATTCTAAACTGAGGTGAACATTATTTATTTGTAATGAATGTACATTTAAGCATAAAATCAAATTTGAAGATGTGATGCTTTTAAAGTTTTATAGAACATTGTCATATAAATTAGTTATCTCCTTAACTGAGGGCACCTTCAGAGCTTAAGGGAGAAGATCCAGTTCCAGGAGGGACGAATTGAAGAGCTTCAGCAGAGGTTGTACGAGGGCAAAAAAGCCCTGACTTCCCGTGAGGTCCAGATTCAGGAGCTAGAGCAAAAGGTATGACATAATTCTTGGGTGATTAAATATTTCCTTTTTTTTTCAGTAAAATGTTTAATTGCAGAAATTTTTTAGCTGCACAAATTTACATCGTAAATTCTGATGCAGTTTTCTTACAGTAGAAATTAAGTATAGGTTGCAATGTTTGCTTTTTGTAATTTATCACAAAGCAGATAGAAGGGTCTTAATGTACTTATGAAATATTTTTCAGGAAAAAAGATTAGCAGGGCAGGTAGCTGTTGTTACAGGGGAGATAGACAGGATAAAATCTGAGGGGGAGGGGGCAGAACTTCACAAGTGTGAGGAACAGCTCCAGAGGGTCAAACATGAGAACGAACGTCTGGCCATAGATCTGGACAAGGCTAAAAAGGTAAAAATTGTCTGCTTAATTTACCTGGGCATGGCTATAAAGGTAAGATTGTGCCCTTAATTTACCTGGACAAGGCTAAAAAGGTAAGATTGTGCTCTTAATTTACCTGGACATGGCTAAAAAGGTGAGATGGACAAGGACAAAAATGTGAGGTTGTCTCCTTAATTAACATGGACTAGGCTTAAAGGGTACTGAGTATGTTAAATCTTACGTGAGGAAAAAATATTCATGTAGATTTAATTAACTGGGCAAAACTTAAGAAATTCTGTTCATACCCGGTATTACTAATCCAGAACAAGGCAAAATGTATCACACGACTTATAGGAAAATTATGCAAAAAGGCAGTGGAAAGACTACGTGCATTCGGAATTGATTTCAGAAATGGAAAATTTGTGGCAGAGGTTGGGTTGAATACTCATGTACAGTTACATTTGTAATTAATCCATTAGTTATATTAATTTTTTAGCTGTTGGAGATGAGTCATCGTAAATTGAGACATTCGGAGGTGAAGCATCAGAACGAGGTTAAACAGCTACAGGAGAGGCTGACACACGAGGAGGAGTCTGTGGAGGCCCTGAGGGGGGACTGTAGAATGAAAGAGGAGAACATCAAAAAACTTAAACGATCAATGAAAGAGGTAAAAAGCAGTTGTGATCTAGATACTTACAGTACAGGCCACGAGTTTTCCCCGAAAAACACAGGGCCCCGTGGACCGAAAGTCCACGCTTTTGCGTGGACCTTGAACAAAGTCGGCGTCTTTGAAGTTAGGGTGTCTGTGCACCGTGTAACACGGTGTGTATGCGCGGTGTATCGCAGTGCCTCATTAGGATATCACACAGAACTTTTCTTTGTCTGTATTTAATCAACTAAATCAATTTCCTTTTAAATCAATTGTTTTCATTTTTTCTTAAATATTACTACTTCTTTACCGATATACAGATGTTTGAACAAATAAGATGCCCTTAAACCGAAGATCCACGTGCTCTTGTCCAGCAAAATACAAACTCTTCAAAATGTGTACGTATATCCATGTACATGTAAGTCGCGTTTCAAAAACCTAACGAGAGAAAAAATATGTTCAATAGTTAGACTATTATTATACTACAAAGGAATACACATTCGTAAATTAATTACCTGGTTGTCATTTCTCTCGATAACTGTGTTCATTTAAATTACAGTCATTTTGGTAACAAGATCTCTTATGCCATATGTATGCATTCATATGTGGTATTTATCAGATGCATGGTTTATTTTATAAAATAATTAATCATTTTCTACGTTAGGAGAATTTTAAAAAAAAAATGCATCTAAATGAATGAAATAAAAAACCGTGTCAGATACACACACATAAACTTTGCTCTCTGATTATTACTCGGCGAATTATACTTTCGATTAAGGATTATTGCAATCTGTAATCATGTACAATATGGAGGTAAATATCTCTCACACACACACACACACACCCTCACACACACACATAAAGCCGACTTTTGGTAACTCAAATCTGCTTTTCAACTACTTTGCAAATATTAGCTTATATGAAAAATGTGCCGTACGGTTTGCGAAAAAAAAAAAATCAATTAGCGAATGTAGAGCGGGGATGATAGAACAAAGCTTCTCATGGTCAAAGTCTATGTTAAGTTATTATCAATAAAATAAATCCCTAGCCTCTTTCAAGTTACATGCATTATGTTTGCAAACTTTCAGGGCCATCTAGCGTTGTGCGATTTTGATTGACAGGTAGAGCACGAGGATTTTGTGTGTTACGGAGAACAAATTGACTGAACACATGTTGTAACTGAGTTGAATATGAAACGAAGTTACGGAATTTAAATAGTATTATAGAATAGTTAATTGTGACTTTGGTGATGTAAATAAAACGAAGAATTAAATTTGTAAGCTCTCTCTCTCTCTCTCGCTCTCTCTCTCTGACACTGTTTCTTTACACACTTTTCATTTAAATGAAAACTTATTAAATACCTATTTTAAATGCATAAATACTAGTTTATGAAAAGATAAAAACAATCGTCTGTTACGAGAAATACTCTTCGACATTTTAATGCAAAGAATTTTTTTTTTGCAGATTTTTACAAAAGAGGGTTAAGAGAATCTCTCTCTTTCTTCCTCTCTCTCTCTCTCTCTCTGACATTGTTTCTTTACACACTTTTCAATTAAAGAAAATTTTATTACATACTTACGCTGAAAGGATTTTCAACATACTAGTTTATGAAAATCTTTAATGAGAAATACGCACATTATTGTACACAGAGATTTCGTGTTTTTGTTGTCGATTCTCGCTTATGAATTCAGAATAATTTAAGATTAACAAAATAAATGTGCTCTACTCCTTGAATTGTATAACATGTATACTAAAACAACTGCAGCTCGGATTGTACATGTATACTACATGTAACACAAATGCAGCTCGATGGATCATGCTATTTAGTCTTTCTTGCATGAGCACATGGAATTAAATTTTTCGAAATATGAACTTCCGGGCGCACGATAAATTCAAAAAATTGCGGCACGGAGGGAATTTTCTGGGCACAGTGCAACACGGGGAACATTAGCTGGGATTTTTCTAGACACGGTGCCACACGGTGTGCCTACCTGTGTATTTCAAATCCACACACACCGTGCTACACCGTGTACACGTGTAACACAGACCATTTTACACGGTGTGTTTTCCACCGTGCGACGGGGAAAGCTCGTGGGCTGTACTGTACATTGTACATGTTGTTTGACTTAATATGTATAATACCAAAATTATTAATAACTTTTATAAATCTCTCCTAGTTTAAATGAAAAGTATGTAAATGACCTCGATTCTTATTCTATAGCAATAAAAATTCTGCTTGAGGTGATTTATTTAAGATTTATTTAACCATATAAAACTAATCTATTGTTAATGTTTGTTATTTTGTAGCTGAGCAGTAAAAATCAAGACTTGATGGAACAGATCCTGATCATAAGGGAGCAGCTTAAAACTTTAGAGGAGCAGGTAGCGGACGAGAATCAGAAAATCCAACGTCAATTTACACAGGAGCTTAGCATGTGTTACCATGAGCTACAGTCACTGGTCCAAGTATGTGTCCAGCGAGCGGAGGGAAACGATCCAAATATGTCACTACTGTTGGGGGTCAGAGGTCAGTGATAATGTGACCTTGTAAGGTTTAATAGTCTGCCATACTGTACAGTGAAAACTATCAAAAGGAAAATGTTTTATATTGTTAGTTATGATTTTTTTGTCATCTCTACTGGTTGAAAAACCAGTACGGCTTAACATGCAAGGATAAAATGTCTGTCATCCATCAATTTGTTGTCTTTAAGCAATTTTTTCAAAATGCAAATCCTTCTTCAGTTAGAAGAATACACTAAGTTACTATTCTTGTGAGTTATCCTTTTGCTTTTTGTCATGTGTTATTTTGACTGAATATTATTCATTTTCTAAAACTCTTACATCTCTATTTTTCTTCATGAAAACAGCTCCCTCTGAATTGGAGACGGGACAAGAAAACAAAGAGCAGGAGGCTCACACACTGAAGCAATGGCTGGGGAAGGTGAAGGAGCTGAGGGCAGAGATTGAGGGATTGAGGGGCCTTATCTGTAACAAGTATGCTGAGGACCTAGGGGACAACATGAACTGTGTTACCCAGTGAGAGAGAGAGAGTGAGGAATTGAAGGACCTTATATGTAAGAAGTACGCTGAGAACCAAGGGGACAACATGAACTGTGTCACCAAGTGAGAAGGAATTCCAATTCTGCCGTGGCCTATTGGTGTTTCCAATCAAGTCATGTGCTAGTGGTCTTTTAATTTAAATTGACCAGCCTCTAGTGTATCAAAAGCTTTATGATGATAAGCTGCCATGGAGATTTTTGCTGGAAGTCAACAAAATTTGGGTGTGGGTTTTGTCCTCAAACGTTGAAATCGGAATGACTAGAGTACATTGATAAAGTTTTAAAGACGCTTAAATACCGGTATCCAAGACCTTGATATTAATTACTGTTAGCAAAAGCAGCTTAAGGTCAATATGTTTGGGGTCAAAGCACAGGGGAAATATTATTTCAAGGTTATTGCCTTGTTTTGTGATGGTGGAAAATTTGACTCAAATACATGTGCTAGTCCATAATCCCAACTGTCTCGTGTTTTATGAACTTTTATGTTGTAATAGTAGCTTTGTTCACAATGCCAAAACCTACTTTATGATCATACAAAGGGTAATATTATTACACAATGCATTCCATATATCGTGTCATGTTTTATTTGTATAGTGTAATATGTCTTTATGGTGAAATCAGAGAAATCCATTGACAAGAAAGCATTTGTTGCAAAGTATTTGTTGCATATTTCATGAATTTGAACAATCGTTTAGTACACAAGTTAGAAAGCCTGTTTTCAAATTTTTTTAAATTGTGTGTTTAAAATTAATAATCCAGTGAATTTTTCATGCATTATTATACACATATGTATATTTTTGTGTTTGGTTGGGTTTTCATTTTAAAATATGTCCTCTTTCTCAAGCTTTGCCAAATACTATGTGAGATATGTATCATATGGAGACATAAAATACCTGTACCTTTAATGTTTGTTTTGAAGGTGTCACAGTAATGATTCATTATGTATGGTAAATATGTACAGTTTTTGAGACAATTTATGTAAATTATTTGTTGCCAAATCTTCACTGGTTGACAAGTGCCATAGTATGATGTTGTAAATATGGTTGATGTGGATGCATGATCATTCTGAGCTAGTAATACATGTTGAATATTATGCAATGAAGAGCAGAATGTGTACATTGTAAATAACTAATATTCATGGCCTTTCCTCATGTTTTAGGTAAGAAGTATGCATTTATAAGATAAATGTATCTCGTGAAACAGTTTAGTTTCTTGTAGATAGTACAAAACATTAGAATGAAAATCTAAAAGTCAGGAGTTTTTAGTTGTTGGACTAAGTTGTCTTATATTTAGTGATTTCATGCTGAAAATTTTAAAGATTTCTTTCATCAATTTGAAGTCAAAAGAAATTCATTGGTATATTTAGATGTTTACAGTAATGTTAACACTCATTAGAAATTATTGTCAATGATTTATTTAATTTTTTCAATTAGTTTTCTTTGGTATATGTAGTCTTAGAATTTTATATTGATGCAGGGTATGTGATGTGATTGCTTAACTGACTCAGGCTGTAATTCTGATGCTGGCAGAGTTTATATCCTATATAATATACTATTAGTGACTCCTGATGAAGTCTACCTGGTCAGGTATTGCTTCAGAGAGGAAGTCAAGGTAAACTAATATCTGCAAGGTTAATACAGTCACAGGTACTGAAAACTAAAAACAGCTTTGTTAAATATGCATTTTACTCTGTATTCTGTTTTACACCGATTCTACAAAAATATACTCAATACTTTTATGCCCCGCCATGCATATGGCCGGGGCATATAGTGTTTGTCATGTCCATCTTCTGTCCTTTTGTCCTTCCATCCTTCTGTCTGTCCTTCCGTCACACTTTGTGTTTAGCTCTGTTCAAATATCAGTTTCAAAGAAACTATCCAAGATATTTTTATCAAACTTCATATGCTGATAGATATTGATGAGAACTATGTAACTGCATCAACATTTTTTGACCTTGACCTTTCCTTTGACCTTGACCTCACTTTTCTTAAATTAGTGTAAAACTTTTTATGCTGATACATACTGATGACAGCTATTCAACTGCATCAATATTGTTGACCTTGACCTTTCCTTTGACCTTGACCTCACTTTTCTTAAATTAGTGTTAAGCTCTGTTTTCAAGAAACCATTCATAATATTTTTATCAAACTTCATATGCTAATACATACTGATGTAACCTTTTCAACTGCATCAAGAATTTTTAACCTTGACCTTTCCTTTGACCTTGACCTCATTTTCTTAAATTAGTGTCAAACTTCATATGCTGATACATTCTGATGTAAGCTATTCAACTGCATTAATATTTTTTCACCTCGACCTTTCCTTTGACCTTGACCTCACTTTTCTCAATTTGTGTTAAAATGTTGCATTACAAATATACCCTCGGCGGGGCATTCATGTCCTATGGACATATTTCTAGTTTATTGTGTCATGGGAATTGAAGATGCTCTCACATTATCCTCCAGTCAGTATTGCATAACATTGGGGTGTATATATACAGAAGTACATTTTGGAAAAAGGTTGTTTCAACAAATTTGAAAGCCATTAAAATTCCTGATTATTGAATATTTACATTTCCAATGTCTTTGTCCGAGATAAAATTTCAAATAGTAAAAATATACTTTATTTCTACGTAAATCTACGGGTTCATCGATAGGCGTGGTGAAAAAAAAACACGTGCGGGGCGGGACAAATAGAGACAGAAGCGGTGCTTGTAGCACTAAATTTGCAGAATCAAGAGCATGTAAATATAAGGAATAACTGTCAGATTTTTTGGTTTCATGACGATGATCAATCGATTGGCTTGCATGATAATTTTATGCATAAACGCCTTTGGCGTTTATGCAAATTATCACGCAAACCAATTGATTGATCACATCATGAAACCAATTGAAAAAATTAGTTATTCCTTAAATAAATGTGTATAGTTTTATGAAAAATAAATATAAATAATAAGTACAGAAAAAACTAGAGTTTATGGTGTACATGTACATTCCAAAAGAGTGTTTTATCATTATCATTATCCTCTTATGAAACTTTTCATTTGTCTTAGAATGTCATTACATGATTTTTAGGTGATATAATGCCAAAAAACTATTTGTAAAAATATTTTTCTAACTTAAAATACCACGAAATAATAACCAGAAATGTATATTTTCATAAAAATTGTTAATTTTTCATCATAATCATTTGGAAGATGTGCAATGGAAACTCAGGGAGATTTAAACATTGTAGAACTCTGTGTAAATATGTGTAGATTTGTATAGTGTATTTATATGTCTCAGTGTTTATTGTGTTCAGTGTTAGTGTGAATCTCAAAAACCTCTCTCCTCTGTGAATACTTTTATAGAAATATATACAATGTTTAAACCAAAAGCCTGAATCACAGGTGAACTGCACTATATTTTGTAGGGGTAATATTTGTTTACATATATTTTAAGAACATTAAATATTGCTTGTAGTAAGTGGTATGGATGAAGCATAGAAAAGGCATCAGTGTCATCTGAAAAGAATTCAACAACTGAACATTCAAATACTAGTATTTTATTCCAGCCTGATATATTGAGTTTGGCAATTTAACCGTTTAAACGTTGTGATCAATTCATACTGCAGCACAGAACTGTAGGCTGGTATAGATGTTAGCTGGTGTGTATTTTAAGGGTCTGCATTTTTAATAGCCACTGGCTCGAATTTATATATCTTGCCTTTTTATGTGAAAATATTTCATCACTTAGTGGTATTTATCCAGTGTCTATTAATCATTTCTTTTGTTTGATAAGTAAATAATGCAACATTTGCTCTCCCTGATTTAATAGATGTCAGTATTATAACTGAAATCACTGCCACATTTTGAATTATACGGATTGTCTTATATTTGTGTGTTTTTCACTGCAAGCATACCGAGGGTTTATATTAGTTTGTAATTCAGTGATTATGTGTATATTTGTAAAAATATGAATGAAAAATAAAAGATTAAAATCATTATAACTTAAACTTTGTATTAAAGTAATGATTGACATCCTTTGTCTATTTAAGACTAGATATTATTCTAAGATTATCAGACCTATGAAAGAAGCCATTCAAACATGAAGTTAAGTCATTAAGTTTAATGTAGAAGTTTAATGCATTTACCAGAACGGGGGCTCTCTGATCATTGGCCATCAGACAGTGAGTTACAGTCCTTGTTTGAATATTACAATTTTTTGATTCCATTCTTCTGACAGAGAACAAGACAAAAACGATATATATATATATATATATATATATATATATATATATATATATATATATATAAACTATGCTAATGATGACAATCTATAATAACTAGTAGAATTATGGAACCATATAAATAGACTCTGGGACGAAACGTGGACAAAATCTGAAAAATTAAAATAAGTAATTTTTAAAAAATTGGAAAAAGAGGCCACCAGCAAAAAAAAAAAAAAAAAAAAAAAAATGAAATATACGGTGAAAACCTCTATAGAATGATTTACAATTGTGGCACGCTGTTTCCCTTCTTGATTTACACTAGCATGTTTTAGCATGTCTCTTTTATCACAACTGATGCCCTATTTATAAATAGAAACCAAAATATTTAAAAATGAGTAAATATTATAAAGATATCTAGAAAATACAAAATTCATGTATGTCAAACATGCAGCAACAAAATGTACTATATTATTGTTTTGTCACTATATTCCATAATGCGCTCCATTAATTATTCTCGGAAAAATTGTAGTTTCTCTTTATTAAGATTTAAACAGAGGTGACATTCTCTAATGAACAAGTATGGACAGAATAGAATTAACGCCATCAGAGATACTTTTTAGTCAGGGTTCCATTAAAAATCGGTTTGGGGATGACACTTATCATCGCAATACGTTAATTGGAGAAACGGTTGATGACATAATATCGGGGAAATGCAATATAAGTGATATTCCAACCATCAGTGTTGTGAAAAGAAGTGGAATATGGGTGACTGCAGACAACCGGCGACTCTGGGTGTTCAAAAAACTCCATAAGCTTGGAAAATGTGATAAAATTACTGTTAAAGTTACCAAATACTTGAATCCTAAGAAAAATTGTGTTCAGTCTACCACCAGAATTAGACAACATGGAAACGCAGGGGGATCTTTATGGAGGATTTTAGAAAGCCAGATTAATGCTGGCGTCAGTCATGTAAGACAAAACCAAAGTGTTGATGCATATGACTCTTCTACCCAGAGAAGTGTTTTATTAGAATCCTCAACGACAAGAGACCTCACTGAAGTTCAATCTATGTTTGATTCAGATACTTCCTCTCTAAAATCATTTTCGTCTGTGGAAACTAAGTTGAGTAATTACTTCATCAAAGAGAGTGAGAAGGGAAGAGCTGTGTATTCAGGCGAGGTCTTTTCCATACCAGTGGACTCAGTCGTACGCACTCAATGCACGAACAATAACAGTTCCAATAATATAAGACAGACAAGCTCATGTTCCAGTTCTTTAAAGAACCAATCCTACCAAGGACCTCCTAAATATTCATTTTCGACGGACAAAACAGTAAGTGCTAAAATTTCAACTATGTCAAATATAGAATTTGCGCCTCGAGTCTCCCATTCTCAAGACCATTCTACCTCAACCTTAGATGCAGCCTCTTTTGATAAAAAACCCATTTTATACTCAAACAATGACGAAAACTCGACAAAATCTTTATCATCGGAAAATTCGAATGAAGTTGAACGACTCTCGTCCTGTGTTTTGATGCAAAAGTACCCACAGAAAAAAATTCAATCCAATAGCTCTGTATGTAAAAACGCTGTAAACTACCATAAAAATTCTAAAGACTCGTTGCCAAAGGACCAAACCATGGCTAGTACAGCGAAAGATAGCTATATACCTGAAAATGTTGCTACTTTAAGGCGTACAACTATGGACGATGAAAGCTACAAAAAACCTTGCCCCCAAAACAACAATACTGTGCCAAGTACACAGAGAAATTGTTATACATCTAAAACTGATGCCCCTTCGAGGCCAACAACTGGGGAAACTGTGAACCACCAGAAAACCCCAAAAGACTCGTTGACAAAGGACAAAACTGTGTCTAGTACAAAGACAGTCAGTTATACATCTGAAAATGTTGCTACGTCAAGGCATACGACTGAGGGCGCTCTAAACTACCAGAAAATCAAAAATAATGATTTGTTATCAAAGGACAAAACTGTTTCTAGTATACAGAGAGATAGTTATACATCTGAATATGTTGCCCCTTCGAGGTCATCAACTGTAGACACTGTAAGCTACCAGGAAACACAAAAAGATTCGTTTTCAAAAGACA